GGCTGGCCTGTGGTGCTGGGGGATTGAACCGCGGTCCCTGCTCCTGTGCTTTGCTAAGCTTGTTCCAAGTAGGTGCTTTAGACCACTGAGCCATCTCACCAGCCCCCTAAAATCAAATTTAAAGAGCAGCAGGGCATGGACGGTGGCAGCCAGGAATCCCAGCACAGGGAGGCTGAGGGAGAAGCTCGCTGTCAGTTTAAGTTCAGCCTGGGCTACATGGTGAGACTTTATAAACCACCCCAAGCCTTGACATCTGGCCAGGGCTCCTGCCTAGCACCAGGCCTATCCTTGAGTGGGCCCTAGGGAATCCCCGGAGCTACCGCAGGGCCTAGCGATAGATGTGGGAGGCTACGTCTCCAGCCTAACTTTACCTGTCTTAAAATATTTATTTTACAGACTAGGTTTCCTTATATTCTTTTTTAAAACTATCTTGTGAAAAGGTAAAACAAAATTTTATAAGAAAATAAGTGTATATATATATATTTCACTTATGCTGCTAGTTTATCTTAGTTCATGGACAACAAAGTTTTGCATTATCTGTTTCTTCCATATACTCTTTCTTGATTATTACTTTTTTATTTTTTGAGACCGGGTCTCTCTACATAGTACATGCTGGCCTTAAGCTCACTATGCAGCCCAAGCTGGCTTTGTACTCAGCGATCTTCCTGCCTCTGCCTCCCAAGTGCTGGGATTACAGTTATGCCACCATGCCTGGCTCTATTTTTTTTTTTTTTTGGCGGAACCGGGGATTGAACTCAGACCCTTGTACTTGCTAGGGAAGCACTTATTCCACTGAGCCATCTCCCCAGCCCCCTTTTTTTTTTTTTTTTTGGCGGAACCGGGGATTGAACTCAGACCCTTGTACTTGCTAGGGAAGCACTTATTCCACTGAGCCATCTCCCCAGCCCCCTTTTTTTTTTTTTTTTGAGATGAGGTTTTGTTACATTGCCCAGGCTGGCCTACACTTCATGATCCTTTTGTTCTAGCTCCCATGTAGTAGGGTTTCATATCACCTTTAAACAAATAAAATAAAGCTTGGGAGCTCTGCTCTGAAAGATAACACAATATAGTGAAGAAGGCAGAGTTAGAACCCACCACCCAAACTGCCAAGTCTCTGGGGTCACTTCAGGTCAGCATAGGCCCTGACCCCACCCGCGAGGGGCAACCTGTGTCCTCCAAGGCTCCAGGAGCCTCTACCTGATCACATCCAGGAAGACATCTGTGTAGTAGACCTTCCCGTCCACACTGTCATAGTCCAGAGAGATGACATTGTTGAGCTCAGGCACGGGGACATGCACGTCGGTGTGGTCACTGGTGTCCAGGGAGATTCGCCGGATGGACCCTCGGCTGGAGAACAGCAGGTAGGTCTCAGGGGAAGGGTCGCAGGTCCTGCCATCCGCCTTCAGCTGGATGCCAGTGGGGCAGGCGCAGGAGAAGCCAGAAGGCCGAGGCAGGCAGAGATGGGAGCAGCCGCCGTTCCTCGAGCCGCACTTGTTAAGCCCTGGTGGTGAGAGGGAAGCACAAGCGTTCACACCCGGCCTTGAGCGGTGCCTGGCTCTCACGGAGTTTCCTGGATTCAGAGTCTGTCAGGGGTAAGACAGAAGCATCTCTAAGAGCCCTTTGGAGGAGACAACACTGTGCAGCTGAAGCCAGCCATCGCCAAAGGGTGCCCCGCCTACTCCTGGAAGGAGGCTGAGGCAAGACCCACAGTTCAGCTCTCTAGTAACCAGGAAGCGATCTCAATGGCACAAGCACCTGCCTGGTAAGCTCAAGGTCCTGAGTTTGATCCTCAGTACCAAAAAAACCCCCCCAAAACAAACAAACAAAAAAGACACCCAACCAACCCAAACCAGAGTTCCATACTCTGGGTATATCTCTGCTGTGGAGGAACCCCTGAGAAGCCCCAGAAATCCAGTGGCTCTGACTCTCAGCCCAGGGGTCTTCTCACCCAGCGGCTGTGTCCGGTCCACAGCCTGGATGTCCATGAGGCCTGGCAGGTTGGACCTCACCAGGACGACATTGCTGCCCGTCCCCTTGTCAGCACGGTGGATGCTACGGGTCTGCCAGTCAGTCCAGTAGATGTAGGAATCCAGCAGGGTGAGGCCATAAGGGTGCTGCACGGGCGACACCAGTGTGTGTCGACTGCCGCCGTTCAGGTCAGCGGCCTCAATGCGCTGCAGGGGAAGTAGGGGATGCAGGGTGTGGGGTTGGGTGGGGAAATCCCAGCTGAGTGGGATTCTCTGGGAGCTCTGGAGGGGCCTCTCCCCTCTCCCAGGCTCCCAGAAGCAGCAGGCTGGGTTCTTACCTCAGTGTGAGCATCGGCCCACAGCAGCTGGGAGCTGGCTTTGTCCACCGTCAGCCCATTGGGCCAGCCGAGGTTGTTGCTAATAAGCACGGTGCGCTCAGAGCCGTCCATGGCGGCCCGTTCCAGTTTGGCATGCTCCCCCCAATCTGTCCAGTACATGAGCCTGGGGGACAGAGGGACATGCTGAGCCCTGGGAACTCCAAGGACACAAATCCTTGTTTTCCAGCTCTGAAACATATACTTTCTGTGTTGGTTTGTTGGTTGGTTTGAGACAAGCTGTGTAGTCCAGGCTGGCTTGATCTCACTTTGTAGCCCAGGTTGGCCTCCTACTCAGAGACCCTCCTGCCTCAGCCTCTCAAGTGCTGGAATTACAGTATGCACCATCACACCCATTTCAAAACTCACTTTTACTACAGTATCCTGCCACTCACTCAAAGTCACAAAGGAGGGGAGCAACATCCCTGTGATACATGATCATTCTCCACTGTCTCCCCTCCCCCATCATACCCCAGCTCAACTGACACCCCTCCCACCAGAGTGACAGAGCCAGCTCTCACCCCATCTCGTGATACAGCACGATGGCCCGTGGGCTGTCCAGGTTCTGCCACACCAGCACCTTCCGCATGGACCCATCCAGGTTCCCTACTTCGATCCGGTTTGTTCCTGTGTCCGTCCAGTACACTTTGCGGCCAATGGCATCCACCGTGAGGCCATCTGTCGTCTGCAGCCCTGCAGGAAGGCAGAAGAGTGCACTGGCCCCCACCGTACGGCAGATGGGCTACTTCCCCAGCTCTGCAGGCAGGAAGATGCTTCCCGGGCCAGGAGCAGGCCCCACCTGTCGTGATGATGTCCTCGTGCCGTGAACCATCCAGGTTGGCCCGGCTGATTCTGTGCAGCGTGCTGTCAGACCAGTACACTTTTCCTGCAGAGAGAAGGGCTAGCTCAACCCAGGCCTCCCCTCCCAATACAGTGTGCATGACTGCCTCTGCCCTGAGACGCTGCAGTGTGCCGGCAAGCCCTGTGCCACACAGACATAGGCAAGGGAAGAGGAAAAATGTCACAGACAGACAAAGGAGAGCCTCAAGCCCCACAGCTGACAAGTCCTATGCACAGGGACAGGGCATGGGCAACCCCAGGCTCACAGCAGGCCGCAGAGGTGGTGGGAAAGGAAGGAGAGCTGCACCGTCAGGCAGGGACGGGAGGCTGGGTAGGGAGGAGGGCCCCACAGACCTTCCTGGGGGTCCACGCCAATGGCGATGGTGTTCTTCATGGTAATATTGATCGGCACCACCACATCAGCAAAATAAGGGATGTCCAGGGAGACCATGCGTACGTCTATCCTCCTGGCGAAGATGAGGAAACTGTTCATGCCTGTCCGGACGGAGAGAGGAAGGACGATACTCGCTGTAGCAGGGCCATTCTGAGGACCTGGAGTCAGGCAAGCTGCAGCTCACACGGGCACCCAGCTAGCTTCTAGCTCTATGATCCAGGCAAGACACTGGAATGACATAAGCCTGCTTCTGGATCTACAAAGTTGCTGTTGGGGTTAAAAGAGATCATGTGCATAAAGCACTGGGCAGCAGTCTCACAGGCTCCCAATGCCATCCCTTCGTATTATTATGGAAGCAGTTCCTTCGAAGGCTCCTTTACCATGAAGCATAATAAAGGCCTGGACACGGTGGTGCATGCCTGTAATTCCAGCACTCAGGAGGCTGAGGCAAGAGGACTGCCGTGAGTTTGAGGCCAGCATATGTGACATAGAGAGACCCTACCTCAAAAAAACAAAAAGAGGATTCAAAGGACCCCAGGGGGCTTCACAGTGTAGGAGGCCCTCAAATTCCCCCAGAGGTCAGAGTTCAAGGGCAAGTCACCCAGGGAAAAAACCTGACTTCCTGGGTAGCCAGGTCCTGCTTCTGGAACCATCCCACAATGCTGTCATTTAAGTTATCTCTGATCAAATCCATGTTTCCTCAGATGAAAGGAAGTCTTCTCAAGACAAGAGTACATTTTTCCTATATGCACGAAGACCTCACAAGGACCAGGGGCCACTGGCTGTCTGCATGGCTCCCTGCGCCACCCCTGGTTCCCTGTCCTCTTCTAAGAGCTTTCAGTCTCTCCCTTAAGCCTCTAGATGGAAGCACCAGGATTCACAACTTCCAGACCACACTGGAGCCCATTTTGCTGAGGAGAAAGACAGCTATCCCATCCTAGACAGGCTCCATCCGGGCCCATGGCATACCTCTCTGACTCACCTGGTGAACACGTCTTGCCATCAGGCAGTAGGTTGATGCCTGTGGGGCAGGTACAGCTGAAGCCATTTGGATTTGGGGAGCGAAGACAAAGGTGGCTGCAGCCGCCATTCTCCATAGTACACGGTGTGGTCACTGTATGAGAAGGAGGAGGCTTTCACAGAGAGCATATTGGCCAAGCATTGGCCGTGACGCATCCACATGGCTGCACTGACAAAGGTTCTACAATCTGAGGTACAGGATCTCAGGATAAATCCTGAGGGCATTTCACTGACCTTCTCAGACCAAAAAGCTACAACTCTTGTTGCATAGGTCCTGCTTTACCTTGGTCTTAACCATCCAGCAGAAAAGTATGAAGACGAAATATAGGAAGTAAAGCCATGTTGTTATATTGAGCTTTGGGGGACTCACGTCAATAATTTCTGACATTGCCAGTTAAACAGAAGACCCAATACTATTATGGGCTACTGGACTCTTTTAGAATATTTTGCTGAGTTTACACACCTATAATATTCAATAACGGAACTTAAAAAAAATGGGGTATAACTATGAATGTCCATTTTGTATCTGTGTATTCAAAGTGGTTGGGATAGATATATAGTTGCATTCTCTTAATGAAAAGAATGATTTGTTCTAATGGTGTTTGTAAATAGGATCACAAGTCTGCATCTTGTACAGCAATTAACCACTAAGAAGAATATATGCAGTGTGTTATTTGTTGAAACTGTACTTTCGATTGATTTGAAACTGTCTCATTGCTATCTGTTTATCAATAAAACTTTGGAAAAAAAATTAAAAAAAAAAAAAAAAGAGAAGGAGGAGGTCAGTGGGACAGGCTAGGGCCTAAGGGGGCTGAGGAGGCACCACGGCGGGCTAAGGGAAGCTCACCTGGGGGTCGACGCCGGTGGAAGACGTGGATGTCCATGAGATTCTCCAGGTTCTCCTGCAGAGTCTCCCGGCCCAGCCCGGTCAGCCGGTCAGCGCTCTGGATGCTCTTGGTCTGCCAGTCTGTCCAGTAGATGCGCTGCCCGTAGAGGGTCAGTCCAAAGGGATGGGGCAGCTGGCTTCCAATGAGCACCTGCCCGGGACCCACACCACAGTCATCCCAGCAGGCTCCAACAGCAGGGAGCAGTAAGCAAAGGCTCAGCGGGGCGTCAGGGTGCAGGTCTGCCACTGCCACTGCCACCTACCATGTGACCTTGACCAAAAAGTAATTATACAGTCTCTTAAACCTTGGCCTACCAAACAGTACCAGCTGGTGACCGGCCCATGATGGTGCCTGCTTCAACACATGTGATGATTTTAAAAGATCACATATGCCTTATGTAATCTCAAAGGGTCTTAGCACACACGGAAGAGTAGCAACTTAGCAGTGGACATCTCTATACCCATGCGATCAAAGAGCTACAGTGGAACAGGCACACATCTGTACCTACAGAAGAGCCATCCTGAGACCTCAGGACACAACTGCACTTACTGCAGCACTCTTTCCTAAAATGCATAATCTCAATCTGATCTTAAGGACACCTCTGCCAAACCCTAATGGAGCAGCACACTAGGAAATCACTGGCTTTACTTTTTCTTAAATGCAAAAGTTAAGGCATAAAAAGGCCAAAGAAGTGTTTTAGACTAGAGTTTAAGAGATGAGATCACTAAGCGTTAACAGTGATCCTAGCTGGACCTTGGGGTAAAAGACAAAAAGAAAAAGATAAAAAACCATAAAAGACACTGTCAGGGAAACTGGCAGTGAAACTGAACGGGGATTGTGGGTTATACAGTAATACTGTACTGATGTTAGATTTTCCAGTTTTGATAATTGTACTATGGCTGTTTAAGAAACTGTCCTGGTCCTTAAGAAATATGCATTGGCATTAAGGGTAAGATGTTGCTAATTTAATTTCAGATGGTTCAGAAAAATAATTGTGTGTTTGCAGAAGCACAAAGAATGAAATGGTTAAAAAAAAAAAAAAAAAAGGAAAGAAAAGACAAAGGTGGGAGAGGGCTGGGAGATTAAGTGCCTGCCTGGCAAATGAAAGAACCTGGGTTCGATCCTGGTACTGCATGCTGTGCCAGTCCTGGAACCTTGGGTGTGCCACCAAAACTAGGTGTGGTGATGTAATCCCAGTGCTGGGGAGGCTGAGATAGGCAGATCACTACAAGTCCGAGCTGCGTAGGAAAGCCTTGTACCAAATAAATAAATGAATGAATGAATAAATGATTTTTTAAAAAATGGGACAGCTGGGTGTGGTGGTGCATGCCTGTAATCCCAGTGCTTGGGAGGCTAAGGCAGGAGGATCATTCCAAGTTCAGGACCAGACTGGGCTACAAATTGAGCTAAAGGTCAGCCTGAACTGCATAGTAAGACCCTGTCTTAAAAAGACAAACAAAAGAAAATGTTAATTATTTGCTCTTTCTACTACTTTTGCAACTTTTCTGTAAGCTTGAAAGTTTAACAGAATAAACAATAACGCAGAGCTGATCGGTCAGGGGCCCAGTGTGCATGGGTGATCAGTCTGTGTTTGCACGATCTTATCAGGAAGGTGCGTGCCTTCTCCCTCCCACCCCAGGCCACACAGACATCCCGGGCTATGGTTTAGGTCCAGACAGTCCCCAAGAGCCTCTCATGCTCAGAAGCAGGACACTGGGAAGGTGACCGGATGACAAGGGTTATAGCTGACTTGCTGCTAGGAGGCAGGAGAAGGGGAGAGGCCTGGCCCCCCGAGGCGGGTGCATCTCCCCCCCCCCCCCAGCAGCTGGCCAGACAAGGGGCTCTTCCCCACCGCCCTTCCACTGTGCCTACCTCGGAGCCAGCCAACCATGGACTGAAATGTGAGCCAACACGAATCCTTCACCTTGTGAGTGCCAGGCACTCTGTCTCAGTGAGGAGAAAGCGACTACGACACTCAACTCACTTTCTTCAGCAGGTAACAGCACCCACCCCAACCCAGCTGCAGAAGGCAGCCACAGCTCTGGAGAAACAGCACAGGCTCCACGCTAGTCGCAAGGCCGCTGGGCCCCCTGGCTCCTGTCCCCTACCAGCCAGCTAGTACCGTCACTGTGGAGGCTGTCAGGGTGAGGTGTACCTGAGCGCCACCCCTACCTTCCTGTTGCTGCCGTCCAGCCCAGCAAATTCAATGGTCTTCATGCCCGCATCAGCCCAGTACAGCCGCTGGGACCCATAGTCGATGGCTAGTCCGTTAGGCCAGGTCAGGTTAGAGGAGATGATGACCCGGCGAGCGGAAGCGTCCATGCCAGCGCACTCGATCTTGGGACTCGCACCCCAGTCCGTCCAGTACATGTACCTGGGCACAGGCGAGGGAGGTCTTGCAAGCCTTGCAGTTAATACCAATGGGATCCAGGCTACCTCGGCCTTTGGGGTCTCTGCCAACAGCAGCTACTCCTGCCTTGCTTCCCGTCAGCCTAGGCCTCAAAATGACTTGTAATGCTACTGAAAGTGACTCTAGGGTCTTGATAAAGCCAGAGCCCCCAGCTGAAGAGAAGAGCAAATGAAGTCCACTAGAAAATACAGAAAGAGGGAAGCCAGGTGTGGTGGTGCGTGCCTGGAATTCTAGCCCTCGGGAGGCTGAGGCACAAGGGTCTCCACAAGTGCAAACCTGGGCTACACAGTGAGTTTGAAGGAAGCCTGAATTACACAATGAGATCCTGTCTCAAAGAAAAAAAAGGGGGTGGGGCGGGGGAATGAGGGCTAAGAAATGTTTTCTTGACTGCATGGGTTAAATAATTATGGTATTTAAATTTAACAGAACTCTACATAACCATGAAAAAGAACAAAGTAGAACTATATAATGGTAAGATATACAAGCCAATAAAAAAAAACTGCAAAATAATGTTATTTTTATAAAACCAAAACCACCACAGCTAACAAAAAGAAATATTTATACACATTTAGGAAAAACTCTGTAAAGAATATAGCAAACTGTTAAGAAAGGTTACTGCCAGAGTGAAATTATAGAGAATTTGCATTTTCTACAGACTTTTTTTTTTTTTTTTTTTTTTTGCGGAACCGGGGATTGAACTCAGGTCCTTATGCTTGCCAGGGAAGCGCTTATTCCACTGAGCCATCTCCCTGGCCCCATGTTTTTGTTTTTTCTGAGACAGGGTTTTGCTGTGTAGTCAGGCTGGCCTCGAACTAAGTGGTGAGACTGCAGGGCTGGGCCACCATGCCTGAGCACCAAGTTACTTTTGTAGCAGACAAAGACAAGAAAAGCCTTTAAAAGGTTTTCTTTCCTCAGAGAGAAAGCAGGGTGACCACTGTCCTCTGGTCCCTACCAGAGGGTGTGTCCTTGGCTTCCGGGGCACACCCATGACAGGGGTTGCTCACACGAATTAATCCCAAATGCCCTCGGGAGTGCAGGGTGGGGGCTGGGAGCTCGGAAGGGGAAGCGCTCACCCGCCCATGGGTTCCACCACGATGTCCCGAGGGCGGTCCAAGTTCTCCCAGATGAGGACAGTCCTCATGCTGCCGTCGGTGTTGGCCACTTCGATCCGGTCTGTACCTGCCAAGAAGTCAGGCAGAGAAGGACTCCAGCGCCCTCCTCACCCCCTTGGGTCCTTCAGGCCCTGCACAGAGCCTCCTATGCAGAAAGCACTCAGCAAAGGCTTGATGGTAGACACACGATGGATAGTTAGTGAACTGAACCCTGAGAAGAAGCCCAAGAACATGATCAGCTTCACCTAAGCAACCAGCTCTGGGCTATGAGGCAATAATTCTCAAATTGTAATGTGGGAATCAGAAGAGATTGTTCAAATACAGAACTTAATTTTCAAAGATTTTGTTTCAGTAATTCTGGGTGTGACCCCAGAATTTGCTTTTTTTTTTTTTTTTTTGAGACAGGATCACTCTGTAGTTTAGGCTGGCCTCGAACTCACAACAGTCTGCCTACCTCAGCCTCCCTAGAGGCAAAGAATTTGCATTTCTGACAACTTCCTGGGCTAGGCTGACGCTGTTGCTCTAATGACCACACTTTAAGCCATTTCTCTTGCCTTCCTTCCTGCACCCACATGGCTAATAGAAAATGCCTCCTTAACCTAGGCATTTTCAGTGGAAAGCAACGCCACAGAGAATGGTTATCATCTGAAGTGGCTCGAGACATTTCCAAACACCAACTGTGACACAGAAGTAGCTGCTGTTTCACTAAGAAGTGCCAAACCCTCAGAGCCACCGCAGTGGCACTGTTTCCGTCCTACCAAGGACTTCAGTAGAGACAGACCCAGTCCAGGACGGGAGGCCACAGTTTGGAAGAAGAGGAATCTCAAGCAGGCAGGGGCCACTATGCCCTGGTACACACCTGCATCTGTCCAGTATAGCTTGTTAGTGACCCAGTCGATGGCCAGGCCGGCAGGGCTCTCCAGGCTGGTATCCACTACCACCTGGACGGGAAGTAAGTCTGTGTCACCCGTTGCACTTCTGCTCCAGCTGCACAGCCCAAAGCCCAGCTGTCTCCAAGGAGAGGCTGGCTTCCCCTCAGCCTCTGCCCTCTGAGGGCTGGGTCACGCTGGGCCCTACCTCCTGCCCGGTTCCATCCCACTTGGCCCTGCTGATGGTATCAGTGCTGACGTCTGTCCAGTACACGTGGTCATCCCGGGAGTCCCAGTCAAGGGCCACAGCACTGCGCACATCAGCCAGTGGGATGACGTCGTCGGACAGGTCCTCTGTGTCGAAGCTGATCCGACGGATGTCCATCCTTCGGGCAAAAAGCAGGAACTTGTCAAGACCTGATCAAAGGCCGAGAGGGATCTTCTTTTAATGCTCTACATCCAGTAAGAGTGACAGACACACTCGCTCACCTGGGTGCCACCTGGCTCAGTCATACTTCCTGGGCCTGGCGCCCTTTGCCCCCTACTTTTCATACTATAGCCCCCTCTGGGCCCTGGGGGGCAGAATAGGACTCTGCCAGGGCCTAGAAGGACGTGCTGTTTCCGAGTCCATCAGCTTTGCCTGAATTTTTCTGCCCTCTGGCTTCTCACAAACACTTCTGGTGCCCTGGTCGGACTGGTGCCGGCTCCAGCCCTACTCCTCTAGCCCCTCTGCTACCTCAGGGCTTCCAGTCCCTCATCCCTGAGCTGAGCACTTAGAAAATCGAGGGAGCTCTGAACTCTCATGCAGGGGGTATGTGGCCAGCGGGTGCCTCTCCACACCCTGGCCCTGGCCTGGTCTGAGGACCTTCCCAGGACACCTGGATCTGGCATCTGGACCCCTGGTTGCAAGATCCCCACAGATACCAAAACCCATAGACACTGGAGTCTCCTTAATGTGGCATGTTGTTTGCACACGACCTACCCACATTCCTCTGAGTACTTAATATTTTGGTTTGTGACTCAGTCTTGCTATGCAATCCAGGCTGGCCTATTTTTTTTTTTTTTTTAATGTATTTAGTACAGGGTCTCCAGGGTCTCACTATGTAGATCAGACTCGTAGTGATCCTCCTGTTTTTACCCTCCCAAGTGTGGGGATCACAGGTGTGCATCGCCACACCCAGTCTCAATCATCATTGCTGCCCCAGGGGCGGGTTGGCACAGCATGCCAGGGATCAGACCCCGGCCCTTGTACTCTGCCTTAACAGGCACTTTAGTCCACTGAGCTATCTGGCTGGCCCTTCCAGGCTGGCCTTGAACCCACTCTCATCACTACTCTGCATTGATTAGGGGCCAATGACAGGGGAAAAAGTTCAGGATAGATGCAATTTTGGTTTTTAGTACTTGGAATTGAAGCCAAGGGTAGGGTGCTCTTCTACAGAGCTACAGCCCCAGTGTTCTTCAGGGTAGGGTCTCACGACGTAGTCTAGGCTGGCCTAGAACTCACTATACAGCTGAGGCTGGCCTAGAATTTGGAATCCTCCTGCCTCAGCCCCCCACGTTAGTCAGCTTGCAGCTATGTGCCACCACCTTCCGGTATAATTTTTTGTGTGTGTGACAGCATCTCACTATGTGCTTTAGGCTGGCCTCGAACTCACAGTGATACTCCTGCTTCAGCCTTCTGAGTGCTTGCACCACAGGCCTATGTTACCACACCCAGCTGCTACAATTTAAAAAAAAATATTTTTGCTGTGTAGTTGGTTGAATGTACAGGTGCAGAATTTACAGATATGAAGGGTTGACTATATAATTTTCTTTTTTTTTAAAATTTTTATTTATTTGTGTGTGTGTGTGTGTGTGTGTGTGTGTGGCCAGCTCAGCCCACCAGGGGGCGGGGCTGGCTGGCATGTGGTGCTTGGGGGATTGAACCGAGGTCCCTGTGCTTTGCTAAGCTCCTTCTAAGTAGGTGCTTTAGACCACTGAGCCATCTCACCAGCCCCAGACTATATAATTTTCTACCCAGAAAAGTATTTCCTAATTTCTGGGGAACCTCTTGCACCTCATAAAAACAATAGAATATGAGCTGGGCACAGTAGGACACAAAGGAAAAACACATTCCACCAAGCTAGTTTCTCCACCAGTGTGTCTTTGAATGATCTCTCTGAGTATTTTCCCTATAATCTGATTCTAACCTAATTTGAGAGAGCCGGGAGGTGGGGGGTCCACAGCAGGCAATAAAGTATGCAAGGGGAAGAATATCCTGGGCCCCTGGTTGCTCAGGCCACTCTTAGCAAGAGTTACCCAGGCTCTGAGCTGTCTAGCCAGGCGATGGCCCTGTGGGGGGTCCCTGGAGTGGTCCAAGAATGACGAAGGGATCCCATCATCTCTTACTTGTTAGACACACGTTTTATCCAGGGCTGCCATACAGAGCACCATTTAGTGGTCTTTTGGTTTTTGTTTCGCTTTGTTTTTCTGGGACAGGGTGTCACTGTGTATCCAGGCTGGCCTCAAACTTGCAGTATCTTGCCTCAGTCTCCCAAGTGCTGGGATGACAGATGTGGGAATATCCTGCCCAGTGCTAGAAATCTTAATTCTGACTCCCTGGCCTAAGAGCTCAGAGAAAGTGCTCAACAGCTAAGGAGGTGGTCCTCTGCTCCTCCAGAAGCCTAGGGGTAAGAATGTACTCCCAGCCTGGTGACAGCTGCTCATCCTCAATCGGACGTTACCCCGAGCCCGGCTGACTAACTGCTGCATCCTCAGAGCCCAGCTTCGACAGAAGATCCCGAGCCTCTTAAGCCCTCTCTCTGCAGGGGCTGGCTCAGGTCTTCCCTCCAAGCCTCTCCTTCTGCCCACTCTCATGAGGCCCCTGACAAGGCCGGAGTCCCAGACCCACTTACTCTGTGCACATGCGTGGCTGCTGATCTTGCGGAAGCCTGTGGGGCAGGCGCAGGTGTAATTCTGGCCGCTGGGCAGACACAGGTGGCTGCAGCCTCCGTTGTTGTCCCCACAGCGGTTTTTCCCTGCTCAAAGAGCCCAGAGCAAGAGACCCGGGTAAGACCAAAGGTTTGCAAACATAGCCAAGGAGGGAGAACTGTGTCTTATTACTTTTTCCACCTGCCACAGCCCCTAGCAAGTGAGTTCCTGCCATCTAAGAGATTCCCTGGAAATGCCGGCTTGAATTAAATGGGAACCCTGAAGCCAAAGGGCCAAGTCTTGGTGGTGTAGTATCCCGAATGCCCAGCAGAGGGAGCAACACGCCCACTGCAAGCCAGCCCTGGAATTCTCACTGCCAGTAAGAAATGGCAGCTAAGGGGGCCTGCCCCTTAACTCAGTTCTGAAGTGGCTGCTTCAACAAAGCAGTCAGGCTCAGGTTGCTGTGGTTGGATCCGCACAACTCAAGCCAGCCAAACCTGCCCTGAAGGCATTTGGAGAAAAAAAAAAGAAAGAAAGAAATGGCAGCTAGCCAGGGGCAGGACACCCAGGGGCTTCTCACCTGCTGGCTGGCGCTGGGGGTGCAAGGTGTGAATGTCCATGGGGAAGTGCAGCTTGTTGCGGATGATCTCCTGGTTCTTCCCAGTGAACTTGTTGGCGCTGTTGATGCTCTTGGTGTGCCAGTCTGTCCAGTACAGGCTATCTTCAAACACGGTGATGGCAAAGGGGTGCGGGAGGCCTGGGGACCGTCCGGGGAGACGTCGGTCCAGCCACTGCCTGCCTGGCCCTGGCCTAGGCGTGGCAACCTCACCAACCGCGCCCTCTGCCACAGTGTGTGTTGCAGGGGAGGCTGGCAGTGGTGCAGGGACTGGAAACAGAGTCTGAGAGAGGCAGAGGAGGCCGAGGGACAGGCTCACCCTGACTGATGACAGCTTTGCGGTGACTCCCGTCCAGGTTGGCCCTCTCAATGACATGGTGCTTGGCATCCACCCAGTACATCCGGCGCCCGGCATAGTCAATGGTGAGGCCATTGGGCCAGAAGAGATGCGTGTCAGCAACGATGCGCCGGCCGGAGCCGTCCATGCTGGACGCCTCGATGCGGGGCGTGTTGCCCCAGTCTGTCCAATAAATGGTGCTAGGAGGAGAACAAGGGGACTTAGCCTGGGGGTGGGGGGGGCAAGAGCAGACTGGGGAGTCATCACAGAGGAACCTTCCTGCCCTTTAATCCAGGGGGTTACAACTGCTACCAGAGAATGCTTCATACTTATTTTACTTATTCAAGAGAACTCCTTTGGCAGTGCTAAGGATTGAACCCAGGGCATCATACCCAAGGCTTTGCTCATGCTAGGCAAGCCCTCTACCACTGAGCTACATCTCCAGCCCTGAAGAGTGTTTGTTGTTGTTCTTTTTGAGAAAGGGTTTCACTATGTAATTCAGGCTGGCCTTGAATTCACTTTGTAACGCAGGCTGGCCTTGAACTCTAAAAGATCATTTTGCCTCAGTCTCCTGGGAGCTGGGGTTACAGATGTGTACCACCATGCCCAGCTTTTTGGTTTTTGTTTGTTTTTCGGAACTGGGAATTGAACTCAGACTCTTGAGCTTGCCAGGGAAGAGCTTATTCCACTGAGCCATCTCCCCGGCCCCATTGTTTGTAGTTTTGAGACAAGGTCCCACTATGTAGTTCAGGCTGGCCTTGAAATTCTGGAAAACTTCCTGTCTCGGCCTCCTGAGTGCTGGGATTACAGGTGTGTGTTATCACACCTGGCTGGAGGCAGGGTCTTTTTCATCATAATCTCTTCTGCTGTCTTGTATAATTATAGACACGTAACTTCTCACATGCACACCACTCACATGTATCCACCCCACCCCCCAGTTTCTACACCAGTAGATGCACACCTGCAAGCTCCTACAAGATGTCCCTTTGTTGCCAGCACTGAAATTTTAAAAAGCCAACAGCTAACAACTTGCATTTCAACAGACTTCAACCCAGCAGGCTTTCCTATTGCTTTTAATTATTTTAAATTAAAGATAATTTTTATCAATTAGCTTCACTATTAACTTTTTAATTATTTTAAATTATTAATAATTTGATTAATTAGGTCAGCCCTATGAACTAACAATAAGAACACTGAACATTTAAGACTCACCTACTACATGTATTATATGTCACTTAAAGGGTATCATCTCGTTCACTGCACAGCTGAGAGGTAGGGGATTTTTTTGGGTTTCATTTCTTTCTCCTTTTTTTTTTTCTTTTTGTGTGTGTGTGTGTGTGTGTGTGTGTGTGTGTGTGTGTGTGTTCTGAAACAGGGTCCTGCTTTGTAGTTTAGATTACTGCCCCTGAACTCACTTTGTAGCCCAGGCTAGCCTTATTCTCAGGGAGATCTTCCTGCCTCAGCCTCATGAATGCTGGGATTATAACTGTGTGCTACCAGACCTGTTTTTTGGTTTTTTTTTTTTGTTTGTTTGTTTGGTTTTTTAATTACCAATTAACCAGCGCAAGGCTACTTGGCCGGTTCTTGCAGGTGCAGGATGCTGAGCCGGCAGTGTCTGGGGACAGAGTCTACCCTGTTAACAGGCTGAGGACCATCTCATAAAGCATTGCCCAGGTGGCCTGGACGCAGTCCCACTCAGGCAGCAAGAAGAATCGGGGAGCCTGTGACACGGCCCACTCACCCCTCCATGGGGTGCAAGGCAATGGCCCGGGGCTTCTCCAGGTTCTGCCATAGTAACACCTTCCGGTGGGCCCCATCCAGATTGGCCACCTCGATGCGCGATGTCCCTGAGTCAGTCCAGTAGAGTTTGTCATGGACCCAGTCCACAGCCAGGCCCCCTGCGGAGAAGCAGAGGTGGGGATGTCTCAGGGGCCTAGCCCAGCCCCTCTGTGCCCTGGTGGCAGCTGAGAACCCACAGAGAATGGTGCTTGGCTGGGGCCTGTTGGAACCATGTGACAAGCACTGCCAAACTGAATCACCAGGGCTCCTTGAGCAGGGTGCATCCACCTGCGGAGGCGGGGAGCAGCCCAGCAGCTGCCCCAGGTCGTGCAATCCCCCTAACACCCAATGAACAGTGCCACTCCAGGGTTCTCCACTGCAAACTGGGGTTCCGCAGAGGCATGCAGAACCAAAGTTCCAAAGGTCCCAGGGCATGCATCAACCCATATTAGGCTCTTTCCTTTCAGGGCAGCCTGAGGGTGGATCGTGGGGCTTGGGGCTGCTCGGCCATCTACCACTGAGCATCAGCTGCAGCCCTCAACACCAAATTCAGATCCACTTCACCTGCTTTTTTACTAGCCTGAGATTGCCGAGGTAGCTGTTGGTATTTCTCAAATCTGAAAACATTGATATACTTACCCTGGTGAATCCCAACTGCTGTGTTTTCTTGGCAGTAGGAGGGATTAAATCTAGGCCCTTTACACTGAGCTCCAGCTCCAACCCCTTTTCATTCTTTTTCTTTTTTGGTACCACGGATTGAACTCAAGACCTTGTGCTAGCCAAGCAGGCGTTTAAGCTGCTGAGCTATATCTTCAGCCCTCATTCTTTATTTTGAGACAGGGTCTAGGCTAAATTGCCCAGACAAGGCTGAAATTTGCAATCCTCCTGCCTCAGCCTTCCAGAGTACTAGGATTACAATGTATTCTTTCTTCTTCTCTCTCTTTTTTTTTTTTTTTTTTACAATATATTCTTTTATACGTAATTTCTCAAAATATTCTTTTTCCTTGAGATAGGGTCTCACTATGTAGTTCAAGATGGTCTTGAACTCATAATGTAGCCCAGGCTAACCTGAGACTCATGGCAATCCTCCTGCCTCAGCCTTCTGAGTTCTGGGATTATAGGCATGCACACCATGCCTGGCTATATTTTTAATACTAAGCAATCAAAATCAGAAGTAAATTGGACAGAGTGCTGGGGAGATAGCTCAGTAGAATAAGTGCTTGCCTGGCAAGCGCAGGGTCCTGAGTTCAATCCTTGGTACCGCAAAAAAAAAAAAAAAAAAAAAGAAATAAATTGGATATTTTAAGCTGATGGAAGACTTATATCATCCATAGATTTCTAATTATAATTAAGATAATCACCCAAGGTCATGTCTAAATCTAATATATATATATATATATATATATACACATGTGTGTATGTATATATGTGTGTGTGTATATATATATACACACACACATACACTAACAAATGCTTTTAAATTTTATTTTATTTATTCGTGTGTGTGTGTGTGTGTGTGTGTGTGGCCAGCTCAGCCCACCAGGGGGCGGGGCTGGCTGGCATGTGGTGCTGGGGGATTGAACCGCGGTCCCTGTGCTTTGCTAAGCTTGTTCTAAGTAGGTGCTTTAGACCACTGAGCCATCTCACCAGCCCCACAAATGCTTTTAAATACTAACAAATGTTTTCCCCACCTGAGTGTCCTACCCAGGGTTTCTCTGTTTGAGTGAGATGTTCCAGGGCAGGTTTGCACACAACCCAACACACACACACACACACACACACACACACACACACACACAGAGCCTCTGCCCTACCTGGGCTCTCCAGCCCAGTGGACACCACCTCCTCCACATTGCTGCCATTGAGATTGGCCCGGAGGATCCTGTCCAAGGTGACGTCGGACCAGAAGACGAGCTCATGCCGGTGGTGGAAGTCCAGGGCGATGGCATTCTCCAGGTTGTTGAGCAGCAGCGTGTACTCGGAGCGGTGTGGCAACACCTGCCGGATGTCGATGCGGTTGGCGAACAGCAGCACTGGCTCTGGCCCTGGGATGTGGCAGAGACAGGGCCTGCAGTGGGCATCGGGCGAGGGGCCTCTTGTCCCTGGGTCACCCCAACCTGCTGCATCTACACCGAAGAGAGGAGACCTCCCTCCCTGCCCCAGCAGCTTTTCTAGAGATCTAGAAGGCAACCAGCGGCTCCGTGGTACAGAGCTGGAAATCTCTCTACCACCGAGCGAATCCCTGAGCTCCAGAACTCCAGGCCTTTTTCTGGCTTCTCCTTGTCGCCAGCTGAGGGGCTATGTCCTTACCCAGCGCCTTGCAGCTGCGCCGGTCGGGCCGGAGCTCGTAGCCTGCCTCACACCAGCACTGGAAGGCTCCTTCGCTGTTGGTGCAGCCCTGACTGCAATACCCCTCCTCGGCGCATTCATTCACATCTGGGAACACCAGGCAGGGTCAGGAGGGCTCCCCGATGCTGTCCCTGCACCCCAACACCCAGCCTGACCAGCCGTTTTCGGAGCCACATTCCCATCCACTCCCTGCCTAGTGGGAAAGGTATGTAGCAAGTGATTAAGGGTTTTGAGGCTGGGCAAGAATCCCAACTCTGCTCCTCCCTGGCTGTGTGACCTTTGCTAAGGTCCCGAGCCTCTCTGGACCTTGGCCTCAACATCTGCAAAGGGAGGAATGACTGCACTTCCTACTGTGTCTTCAATGGATGAAACAAGGCCGCACCCATCAGCTGCCTAACCCACAGGAAACAGTTGCCTCGCTGCTGCCCCTGCCCGGCCCCCTGCCTCAGTGCCACCTCCACCCTACTCACCCTGGCACGCACGCCCATCCTCTGTGAGCCGGTAGCCCGTGTGGCAGGTACACTGCACTGCCCCTCGCACCATCTGGCACTTCTGGGAGCAGCCACCGTTGTTAACATTGCAGTTTTCTTCACCCGTCCGGGGCCCTGTGCCAGCCAAGCTGGAGTTGGGACCGGGCCCAGAATCCTCCCCCAGACAGCCACCTCAGCTGTATCAGCTCCCAAAGCTGTGAGGTGCCTGGGGGAAGATTCCTTTGGATGCCCAGGGGTGGGGTTCTGCCACAGACCACCAGCCAGGCCCATGCTCCAGGGACACTCACGGCAGTTCTGCTGTGGACTTTCGTCACTGTTGTCTCCACAGTCGTTGACCCCGTTGCAAAGTTTCCTGTGCCCAATGCAGCGCCCGTTCCAGCACAGGAACTGGTCAGAGGCACACTGGGGGCTTCCTAGGAAGCAGGGGACGGGGGAAGGCAGGTCACCGCAGGACAGGGCATCAGGCAGCTCGGACAGAGCCTGTGCCTATCTAGGGTACAGCTGGAGACAGGAGACCCCAGGAGGGAGGCCCAGTTGAGGCAGGAAACACCTCAGCAAGGCGAGCCACATGCGGCCTTGCAACCTGATAGTCTCCCAGTGCATCTTCCTGCCATCATCTCTGCACCCCAAGTACAGGCTAGGGGACCTCGGGCAGCCCCCGGAGTCCCCACCTGTGTTCTCACAGTTCTCCTCATCACTGTTGTCAGCACAGTCATCCTCCCCGTCACAACGCCAGGACAGGCGGACGCAGCGGCCCGACCGGCAGCGAAACTGTTCAGCTGTGCACACGGAGGTGGCTGGCGAAGCAAAGGGGTAATGAGAGGCTGTCCCCTCTTGGCCCTGCTGCCCCGGGCGGCACTTTGCATCCATCCCCAGGCTGCTCTTCTCGAGCCAGGGTCACAAGACACTTTACTGCCATCTGCTGGAAAACTGCCAGGATGAGTCTATGAAACGGCCATCTGCCATGCGGCTGGCATTCCTTTAGACATAGTGTCCCTGTGCAGTGCACAACCCCACGAGCTGTACATATTTAGCAGTCTCCCAGCTTGTCTGTGTTTGTAAAGTGACAAGACTGTGAGGGGCTCTGTATTCTTCTGGGTTCATCTGTTGATGTGCCAGCGTAGAAGCCGACGTGCCGCTGGGAGGCGTGGCCTGGAGGGGGCATGCCTATCTAGGGCTCCACCCCGCCTCCTGGCTGCAGCAGGTTGGCGCCCTTTCCTTTGACGGAGCCCTCCCACCGCGCTTCTTTCTCGGGGCTCTAACTGTAACCGCTAGCCAAAATAAATTTCTGCTCTTTGGCGATGTGGGGGGTGTCAGGGATCAAGTCCTCGCCCTCCCCCCACTCACTGCAGTTGCGCTCATCGGATTGGTCGTCGCAGTCGGTGTCCCCGTCGCAGCGCCAGCCCGCGTTGATGCACAGCCCACTGTCGCACATGAACTCCCCGGACCGGCAGGGCTGGTGCGAGGCTGGGAACAGGACAGCCGTCTGTGCACCGCCCCGCGGCCCAGGCTCCTCCTGCGCCCGCCCGCCCGCCCGCCCCTTCCCTCCCCGCGCTCACAGCAGTCCGACTCGTCCGACCAGTCTCCGCAATCGTCGTCGCCGTCGCAGTGGTAGATGTCCAGGATGCAGCGGCCATAGGCGCACTGGAACTCCTCCAGGCTGCAGGGGGGCGCGGGCACCGCCGAGGCTGCGGAGACAAGAGGAGGGGTGGTGCTCTGCCCGGAAGAAGGGGGGTGGGGGGACATGCTGAGGCGAGACTGGGCCCTCGCGGACTGACCGCTACGTCGGGGCCAACGCGAGCTCTCCCGCGGCGGAGGTGCGCCCACTCCTTCCCAGCTCAGCGCAGGCCCCGCGTGGAAGCACTGCGCCCCCTGCCGTGACGCGCGCTCCTTGCCAGTCCTCACTCGGGCACAGTCCTCGCCCAACCCCACAGCCCGAAGTCGGGTCACTCACGACAGCTCTCCTCGTCGGAGCCGTCTTTGCAATCTGTGTCACCGTCGCAGTACCAGTGCTCTGCGATGCAGCTCCCATCGCTGCAGCGGAACTCCTTGTCCGAGCACTTGCGCATGTCTGGGGTATGAGGGTAAGGCGTGCTGAGGGACCTAGCATACACCCCTCCCCATCCTCCCAGACAGCCAGCTTCCCTGGCGTGCGGGGCACTCATAAGGCCCCTGAAAGACACCGCGCATTCAGTGTAGACCGGGTAGCCACGGGACGAGTCCACGGTGACTGGGCACCCAGATGCTCTGCACTCCTGCCTGCCTCCCTCCCTCCTGCTGCTCCAGATGTCTAGGGCCCCACGCACCGCACTGCTCATCGCTGTTGTCGCCACAGTCATTGTCGCCATCACAGTGCCACAGGCTCCGGATGCAGTAGCCGTTCTGGCAAGGGAACTCGTCCTCCTCACACTCTCGGGGGGCTGCGGGCACAGGGCAGCAGTCAGGCAGGGATGCAGGGCCTGGATGCCCAACAGAAAGGCTTTGGGGGAGTCTGGTGGCTCTGTGCCTCTCCTCAGGGACACACAGCAGTGAGGAAGGAGGGATGAGGACCGCGCAGAGTCTGAAGCCCAGGGCCCAGTAGGCCAAGGGCTCTCCTTCCTCCTGAAAGCCCCCGACAGAGCCAGGCTGCGGGCACTCGGGCACTCACGGCAGTCCTGCTCATCGGAGTCGTCCTCGCAATCATTGTCACCGTCGCACACCCAGGAGCGGCGGATACACTTGCCATTGTCACAGTGAAAGTCCAGGGGGGAGCAGGTGGGCAGCACTGGGGAGAAAGAAGGGAGAAGGTCTGGAGCCCTCACACCAGGTCCCAGGCCCACATCCATCCACAGCCCCTCCCCAGGGACCCCTTGCCTGCTGCCAGCCAATGAGCAACTCAGCGGAAACTGCAGCCAGCAAGGGTAGAGAAGGAAATGTGGCAGGGATCCGCAGGGCGGCAAAAGAACCACCCAGACAGCTCACAGCCACTACAAAAGCGGTAAAGAAAAGGCCGGCAAGAGCGCCAGGTGGTTTTTCCCCCCCTTTCCTCTTCTTGCCTGATGACTGACACACCTGGGCTCCATTTCCAGTTCTAGGACTCATTACTTATCACACTGAGCAATCGTTTCGTTTATGCTCTCTGAGCAGCAGTTCCTTCGACTCTACAATGGGAGTAATTATTCTGGGGGCGGGGAGAGGTCTTTTGAGATAATGGATATGAAAATGAAGCATTCATCCCTGGGGAGGGCTAATGAAGTCCAGGTTGTAGCCTGGCTCCCATTAGACTAATTAGCTACTCTCAGACACAGACGCTGCAGGTGAGAGACTGCACCCCTAAACTGAGACAACTGGCTTGGCAGTGATACTCCTATATGCCCAACACAGAGCACCCTGTTATTATACTAAAGGAAGGGAAAGATTAAATAAAATGAGAGCCGGGTGTAGTGGCATAGGCCTCTAACCCCAGCTCCTGGGAAGCTGAGGCAGGAGGATCTCCATATTTTGGGAGTCAGCCGGGAGTACACAGTGTATTCCAAGCCAGCCTGGACAGTGAAACTGTCTGAAAGGGGGAAAAAGGTATTTAAATACAATGAGATGTCCTACAAAGTTTGTCATTTACAAAAGGTGTCGTTATACAAAATACCAAAATAAGAAACAGGGAAATAATCTGTGTATAATCCATACATTTTAAAATGTTCATGTGTTTACATAAACACAGAAATTTAAAAAGACCAACCATGGTTTTGAGGGCATTTTCTTCTATACTTGATTCAGTGTTTGTTTTATTAGAGACATAAGTATGAACCACTCTATGAAAATATGGGACCCTTGGAGGTATATACACTATCTGTTGCCCTAGCAAGAGTCTAACTCAGTTGGGTGTGGTGGCGCACACCTGCAATCCCAGCACTCAGGAAGCTGAGGAAGGAGGATCACAGTTTGAGGCCAGCCTGCGCTACATAGTGAGTTCGAGGCCGCCTGAACTACATAGCAAGATCCTGTCCCAAGAAACAAAGACAACAAGGAAGCAGAGTTCAACACTGAGCCCAACTCAGAGGAGGGACAGGATGCCCCGGGAGCCTGTCCCTGGCTCCCTCTAGGCCCTCCCCAGCCCCTCTCTGGGGCAGTACTCACTACACCCATCCTCATCGCTGTGGTCCCCACAGTCGTTGTCTCCGTCGCACTGCCACTGGGCAGGGATGCAGGTGCACTCGCCGAGTGCGCTCACTGCGCAGGTGAAGTGGCTCCGGCCACACGCACACTCCGGGCTGCTGGCAAGGCCTGGGCATGGGAAGGGACCAGGGTGGGCTCAGCTCCTTCTCAACCATGGCCCATCTGTGGGTCAGGGAGGGGGGCCTAGTCCAGGGCACTGTCCCCAGAAAAGTATCTCCACAGTGATGCTACAATGTCAAGTCTTCCTCTGGCTTGTGGCTCACAGACAGCCTGGGGATGCTGTCCCTGCCAGGGCTTCTTCCATGGCTCCTCTCCATGCCACCTGGGGGGCTGAGGCTCAAGGAGCAAGAAAGCAGGGGACAGAGGGATGGTATGGAGAAGCATCCCCAACAAGGCTGAGAAATAGATGCTTCTTCCACATCCTGGACTCAGCCCTGGCAGGTTGGTCCCAAAGGGCAGGAAATACAGAGGAAGTGAAAAGCCAAGGAACCCTTGCAGGATGCAGGCAGACCTTCCTGGGAGGATGAGCAGGAGGAGTGGGGTTGGAGGTGGAGAGGACCACAGCAGCCTCCCCAGGCCTTCCTCTCCAGGGACAGGATGCAGCCCAGAGGAAGGCCCGGCCCTCCCAGCCTTGGCCACGCAGCTGGGCTTCCCCACTGAGCATGCAGCGATCTGCCTGGCCAAGTCCCGTGACCGGCGGCTGTGCCCCCTGCCCGGCGTGCCCAGCAGGATGCCCTGTGATGGCGTGTGAATGGCTCAGTGCCCCCGCTCTAGCCTCAGCTGGAACAAAGGCTTCTGCCAGGGTCACTCTCCCCCTCCCTGCATTCATTGGACCACTAGGCTGTTTGCAGCTGGGGAAGTGGGGACAAGCTTGCTGCTCATCGCCCCCTCGCTTTCTTCTGCTCTTCTCCCCTGAGGCTGGGCTGGAATGGGAGCGAGTAGTTTCTAAACTGCCACCCTTTTCCTTTAGTGTGGACCTGGCCCAGCCTGTCTCTCTCAATATACAGCCTCACTTCCTATGACAATTACTAGGCCCTGCCCAGCACTCAGGGTCTGGAATGAAATGGGGTACTGCTGTGTCCCCCAAAAGCAAGCAGAGTGACACGTGCCTATAATGTAGCACACAGAAGACTGAGGCAGGAGGATCGCGGTCAGATCAAGGCCAGCCTGAACTACCCAGTGAGATTCTGACTCAAAACAACAAAAATAGGGCCTAGGGTATAGCTCAGAGGCATGGTACCTACCTGCAAGCACAAGGTCTGGAGTTTGATTCCAAGAAAGAAAGAAAGAAAGAAAGAAAGAAAGAAAGAGCAAGCAGGCTAGCCAAATAGCTCAATAGATTAAAGCACCTGCAAGAAGGTGCAGGGACCTGGGGTTTAATTCCTGGGCCTGCCATGTCAGCCCCACCCCTGGGGCACACTGAGATGGTAATTGAGACTAGGCATGTGGAGCGTGCCTGTAACCCCAGCACTTGGGAGGCTGTAAACAGGAGAATCACCATGAGTCTAATCTAGTAGTGAGGCTCTGAACACCCTGTAGACCCCTCCCTAAAATACAGAAAAAAAAGAAAGAACGAGCAGAGAGCCCTAACCACCCTCCCTTCAATCCCAAGGGAAGTATAAACATAAGGCAAAGCTTACTAATGATGGACAGATGCATGGACGGAGAGACGGACAGACGGAGGGATGGAGGGACGGAGGGACGGAGGGATGGGAGGGATGGAGGGACAGAGGGACGGAGGGACGGAGGGATGGAGGGATGGAGGGACAGATGCATGGATGGATGGGACAGATAGATGCATGCATGCATGGATGGATGGATGGGTGGATGGACAGATGGATGGATGGACAGATGGATGCATGGCTGGCCATTGGGATCTGTGATCCCCCAAAACTACAGGTAAAATGTATATTTCTGGAGTGAGAGCCACAGATTCCTACCAGATTCCATGCACACACACTCACATGACAGAGTAAGAACACAAAAGGAACCTCCTGCTTTAGAGAAGGTGCAGGATTTCCTGTGAAGGCGAGGGAATCCACTTGGGAGGCTCAGCATCCTCCAGACCTTACAGGAAGGCCCTGCTGCAAGGCCAGAGCTCCTTTCTGCAAATGTGCAAGCAGATTCTTCCCTGCAGAGGGACCAGTAACCCAGCAGCCCAGCCCCCAACCCATGCTTTCGGCCTGTTGTAAGGAAGCTGAGAAGAGTTGAGGGCTTCTAGGACATCCCTGGACACAAAGCCTGAGGAACAACTGCATGTCCCTGTACCCTCCAGGCAACTCTGGCTGGGTGAAACAGCAAAGAACATTCCATGCAAGGATGTGACACACAGGTCCCCTTCACTGCAAGGCCAGGTGAAGAAGGCAAGGCTGAGGCAGTGGCTCCTGACTAGGGGTGCTTTTGTCCCTCATGTCTCATTGGACAACATCTAAGGATACTTGGCTGGCACGCGGAGAGAAAAGCCAGGGGGCTGCCCAGTGCACAGGACAACTCCCCCACTCCAAGACATGGCTGTACCCTCAACAAGTTGAGAAGGGCTGGGAGTGCCAGGGCCCAGCAGGGGGTTCAATGTAGCCAGTGATGAGGACAAGAAAAAGAAGCAGGCAGAGGAAAGACCCGGGAGCTGGTGCACACAGGCCTGGTTCCATAAAGCCTGTGTAGGTCGCCCAGCTCCCTAAGCCTAGTGTCCTCCTCTGGGAAAAGAAAGAAAAGCCACAAGGATTATGCAAGAAAACAAGGGTGAAAGAAATGTACCTTTGGACTGGGGGAGACAGCTCAGTGCAATAAGTGCTTGCCTGGCAAGCGCAAGGTCCTGAGTTTAATCCCTGGTACCGAAAAAAGAAAAAAAGAATAGTATAAAGAAATGCACCTTTGGCATGGCACTCTGCAGGTGCTCAGTACATGGATTTTGAGGGCATAGGGATGCAGGGGCTAGGTTGTCCCAAAAACCCTTGATTTTGTGTGTGTGTGTGTGTGTGTGTGTGTGTGTGTGTGTGTAACCGGGGCTTGAACTCAGGCCCTTGCGCTTGCCAGGGAAGTTCTTATTCCACTGAGCCATCTCCCCAGCCCCTTGATTTTTAAGAACCTGAGCAGCAGGAGAGGGAGAGTGAGATCAACAGAGTGGAATCCAAGAGGTAGACAGCCCCACCCTCTGGGACTGAGTGATAACAGAAGTCCTCCTTGTTCCTGGGTGCCTGCTTCAGGAACCACACATTCCACAGGGTAGGCACTGAGCAAGTTGCAGGTGGCTGGAGAGTCACATCTTCCAGCTTGTCAGAGCCACTTGGGAAGCCAGTGCAGTGGTGCACGCTGGACAGCCAGCAGGCAGGGAAGCCCTCGTCCTGGGCATTCACACAGGAAGCGGTCACATTATATTCCCAAAAGCCAGCGTTTCTGAACAACTGCTGCCCCTCTGGGGTTCCCAGAGCTGGAATTCTGCCTTTTTTACTCAAGCCCCAGCTGTGATCAGAAAGGGCAGCTTTTTAACCCTTTTAAGACAAAGAATGATGAGAGAAGAAAGACAACAAGGAACCGTGCGTGGGTGGCCAGAGGCAGAGCCCTCACCAAGAAGCACTAAATCAGAATCTTCAGCTATATTTCCGCCTTGCTAGCCACAGACTCCCTTGGCCCCTAGGGCACTGGTCCTTGCACATAACACACAGATTCTGGACTCAGGAGACTAAGGTGGAAATTTTAGTTCTAGCACCAATGCCGCACCTTTAAGCAAGTTATGTAATATCTCCATGCCTTGCTTTGCTCATCCGTACAATGGGAATAAGGATAGTTCTATCGCAGAGGGTTGAGGGAGTTGAAATAATCCAGACTGCTCAACCCAGGGCTGGCACACAGCACCAGCTTGATAATAATACAAGAATCACTCAGGACTGCCACCAAGTATCTCACATCAGTACATCATGGGAAGCTCCCCATAATGGAGGAATGCCACGGCTAATGTTGTTCTTTTTCGAGTCAGGGCCTTGCTATGTAGTTCAGGCTGGCCTTGAACTCACTACACAAGTCAGGCTGACCTCAGATTTGCAGTGATCCTCCTGCTCCAGCCTCCCAAATGCTAGGATTACAGGTGTGCGCTACCCCATCTGGCTAACTGCTGTAGTTACCATCACTTTCTTTTTTTTTTTTTTTTTCTTCTTTCTTTCTTTCTTTCTTTCTTTCTTTCTTTCTTTTTTGTATTTAGTACAGGGTCTCAGGGTCTCACTACACAGATCAGACTTGTAGTGATTCTCCTGTTTTCAGCCTCCCAAGTGCTGGGATTACAGGTGCGCACCACCAGGTCCAGTCTCAATCGCCATCTCAGCATGTCGCGGGGGGCGGGGCCAGCACAGCACACTGGGGATCGAACCCTGGCTGCTGCACTCTGCCTAAGCAGGAGCTTTAGTCTACTGAGCTATCTGGCTGGCCCTGTTACCATCACTTTCAAATGCAAGACAAAGAGATAATGGAAGGCTGTCCGTAGATAAGTCACACTGGTACTAAGGGCAGGGCCAGCCCTTATCCTGAGCATCTGCCCTTAGGAGGCCTCCCAGTAAGTGGTATTGCCATGGTGAAAATCTCCAAAGCCTCAAGGTCAAAAAGCCCAATTACAACTTCAGGGCCCCTCGCCCTGATGCGTTCATTCTTCCCCAGCAAATCTGCAGGGAGTTTACGAGTCTCAGACAGTGACCTTTCCTTCTGGTTACTGCTAGGGTAAAGAGCAATTTCCTTTGCCTAAGGTAAAGCAGTAAAGCAGGGAGGAGAAGGCTGTAGTCACGGCCCTTTTGAACCAGTGCCTCTAATGCTGGCCCAGGAAGGAAGAGGGCTTCTGGCAACAAATAATTCTACTTCACAGTTTCTCTTTCCAGTTAGCAAGCTACTAGCAGGCTTGTAACTCTGAGCAGTTGCTGGGGAACTCATGTAACAGGTAAGCTCACCTGCAGTGGCCAAGGCCGGTCAGGAAATGAGTTACAGCTAGGACAGTAGCCCACTGGAACCCTTAGACTCATGTGCTTCTGCCAGGAAATCTCAGAATCCAGGCTTTGAATGCACCGTCATTTTTGCAAGTGACACAGATACACACGCAAGTCCCCATAGTCTGTGTCCCAAGGAACACT